ACCTGTACAGAAACAGAGCATCTTGCACTGGGTCTTCTTGCCACCCACGTCATAAAATCATGTGCTTGCTGACCAGTGCTATCATAAAGCAGAATTTAAACATGCTACAGCAGAATGTGCAGAGAAAACAATCAAAGGCTTTGGAAGTTTTTTGGGCTGTATTTCAGGGGCAGCAAAAAGCCTTCATTCATGAGGGAAGCGTTCTTTGATATAAATAGCTTTATATCTCTAGGGTTTTCTTCCCACCTACATAACTATTTCTCTGCTGTCGAGGACTGTTAGTGTTCCATGAGGAATTCAAAATCTGGGTAGTGGGTTTTAATTGTGGGAGAACTACCATGTAATACAGTAGCAGCTATTTTTACTATGCTTTTGTGTCATTTTTCTTTTCCCAAGAGGTGCCACAGGATGATTGCGAGGCTGAAATTTTCCCAGATAATGTAAAAGCCCTGACAAAATGAGGCAGAGGATCATAGTGAGAAGCACTCAGACACTGACCACAATGTCTGACTGGAACTGGAGCCAGTTCCTGTTCCTCCGCTCCCTTCCAAGCTCCTCCTGTGCCTGGCTATGGGTCCACAATGACAACACTGGATCTCAGTCCTCCCAGGTCGTCTAGATATGAACATTTTATCTGGATAAAATGTGTGCAACCCTTCCTCCTACACATGATCACATTATTTGGATTTTGTTAATGTTATCCTTTCAAGGTAGCAAGCAGAGTATGGACAATGCCAGAGCAACATAAACTTAACTGATGGGGAGATAAGCCAACACAATCAACTCAACAGATTGATCCTAGCAAAATGACTTTATTCACTAGTAAGGTTAATCACTATTTTGCATTATGTTTTTCTGGTACATCTTGATTTGATAGGAAGAGCCTTAAAGGTGGAATTGATATATTGGTGAATGCCAACCTCAAGCAAATTACTGCAAGGTTCAAGTCATTAATAAACCCTTGGACTCCAATATGCCAGGAGCACAGAACAGAGCCCTTCATTTTGTCCCTTCAGGGAATCAGAATTAGCTTGTCAAGTTTTATTAGCCTGGATGACACTGAAAAGAGGCTGAGTGGTCTTGGAAGCAGCATAGTGACTTACACATCACAAAGCCTGACTTCATAAATAGTGATAGATTAAAAGTAGTGGTTCATGGGTCTGCACTGGGAGTTCTGAATCCATGGCTGGATAATTGAAAGTCTAGATAAATGATGTACAGATAAAGGCTGGTGAGGTCAGAAACACCCACTTCATTTATCTGCAATCTCTACCTTCCTATTCATCAATTTCTTGATAATTCCTCTCCCTTCTCCAGTACCATGCAGGATTGTGGAGCGCAGTGCAATGTCTTTGGCATAATGGAAAAAGAGAGGGAAAAGCCAGCCATGCTTCCTGTCCAGATACATCTTTCTTTAAAAAAAAAAAAAAGGATAGGATTATTTTTGTACATACCATGTTATTGTTATCTACATTATTCTGGAAGGAGAGATCAAACCTACAGGCCGGATGCTGCCTGAAAGCCTCTAGCATCCCCATTCCATAAGAGAGAAGTGTGGAAAGACAAAAACTTACTAAGATTTGGGTGTTGAAACAAATCCCTCTGTACCCCACAGTAAAGATTGTTTAAAGTCCTGCACTGATTTTGCATTGGTAGCAATGAGGGCTGTTTCCTCTACAGTTCTGCCCTGGAAATGGCAGCTATCATCCAGCCAGACCTTATGTCCTTACATAACCACAGAGCATACGCTCAGTGCCTCATGGCACCATGCAGTACCATGAGTGACAGCACCAGAAACAAGATAGGCAGCAGAGTGCAGCACTGCACTGAGCCACTTCTCCCAGACTCATTTGCTTGGGTCCTGTGCCATACCAATGTGGTGACACTCTTTCTGTTCCTGGAGAAACCTTGTCCAATGCCAGCCCAGACATCTGGCACTGAATCTCATATCTGTATGAACTGTGTTATTTATGAATGGTAATTATCAGCCCATATTTCTAATTCCCTTTACTACTTATGTATTGGCTGAAAGCTAAGGAGGGTTAACCAGAGATGTTGGTAGAAGGGCTGATGGTGGGCTCACGTCTCTGAACCTGGAGTTTGGTGCACACAATGAAGTTTCTTGTCTCTTAATTTCTCTCATATTTCTTCTTCACCTCTTCTTTCTTCTTCCAGCATGTGCAGATCTTCTCATATAGGTGCAAGAGACACCAATGTCATTTACTTGTGGAGTTTGGGAGGCTGGCTGTTTGATCTGCTTCCAGACATAGCCACCAATATGATCAGTGAAAACTGGTGCAAGTCTGGTATATCTTAGCATCTCATATTTCTTATCAGGGTTTTCACAGAACATATTCTTTCCATTCATTTTTACCAAGGCAGATTCTTTTCTCCCCAGCCGCTGAAAATGTGTCTGTGCCAGTGATGCTCAGTGCCATTATACCACTTAACACGCCTCTTAGTGGGGTTTGGCAGCAGTAAAGGCCTCAAAGCTGAAGGAATATACTTAGAAGATCGCTTGTGTGGGAGCATCGCTGGTTTACTGCCCCGCTGGGGAAATCAGCGACCACACAACAAGCCCAGATGAAGGAGCTGTCTTGAGGAGGACCCTGTCACCAAAGCTTTCTTTCCCCTGATGACAGTAACACGACTCGTGTGCCCTTGAACCTGAGAAAAACCAACCTTGTGAAAAATTCCAAGAAATTCAGAAGCGGTGACAGTGTTTTGCTGCACTGAATGCCAGCGCAGCAAACTCATCTCTGTAAAATTTTCCAACTTTGCAATATTTCAGCTACATGCTACTAGAAAGCATTAACCATACATCACCAGGGACAGGCTTCCCATTCCTCTGCTGCAAAGGCAAAAGTAGGTAACTTGCATGTGATTTATAGGCAAAACTCATCTAGTCAGAGTGCAACACATACCCTGTGCCAGCAGCAGTAAATCCAAGCCCTCTGGGCTCTCAAGGGAATATTTCATGCAGTAGCCTGAAAAACACATGCAATGTCTTTGAAAATCCTGTGATTTAGGGTTGGTAAAAAATTTCTCATCACCATCCTGTATGCCTACCTGCCTGTGCTGAGAGACTATGACAACAGCAACAACTGCAAAAATTCCCTGGAATCAGGCTTTATGTCAGACTACCCAAATCACTTTTGCATATAGTCAGAAGGTTAAAAAGCTTATCTCTGTATAAACTCTGCTTTACTAGAGTGGGGGAGAAAAGAGAGAGGTGGTTATATCTAACATTGAAAATGACACCTCAATTGCAGGAATTAAATGTTTAAAGTGTCATCCTAGAACTTTGGAAGTAAAATGGGTCCGATGAGCATGCAAGTGGCTGAAGAAGGCAGTGAAGGGTACTGAGGAAAAGAAGGAATTCAACTGCCTGTCATCAATTTTAAGTTGTGTCCACTTTTATTTATGGAAATGCGTTTAAAAACTGTTCAGCCCTCAATAGGAAAATGTGCAATCTAAATAGCTCCTTGCCATCTAAAGGGCAGAGGGAAACATGGGAGGTGAATGACTTTCTCAAAGTCAAGCTGTGGGCTAGCAAAAGAGCTAAGGGGAAAGCAGATCCCCGTGGTGCAGTGTGGAGCATCCTGACCTCCACTACCTCCAGCAGCCATGCTGCAGCAGGGGTCATCCTCGGGATGAAATGGCAGCAGGGCAGCTGCCTCACATCCTCCCCAAACAAAATGTCTGGCCCTGCTGGGTTCAGAGGCTGCTGCCTTTGCTTCTGGTCCAGCAGTAAGAGTTTAATTTTCCCTCTGCACAGAACAGACTCTTCCAGGTACAGTCTTTTGGGAAGATAAAATAGACATCACTCTATAAAGTAATGGCATTTGCCCCCAGCCAGGGCAACATAAGCACCTCTGCAGAGGGAAAAAATTCAACCCCTTTCAGAAATCTGGGAGATGGCAGGTGTTAGCCTATTTAATAGGAGTAATAAAAACAATTACTTCTGTTAATATTAGGTATCTGATTTCCAGTGTTGAACAGGAAAAGTGCAATACCTGCCATTTTAAATTAGTCTGTCATGTTTTCATTCCTTCCTCACCCCTGGGATTTCAAAAATCTTGATGAAATATGTGTTCACTCTTCAAATATTTCCTGAGGCCAGCGAGGTACATATGTTCCTAGGAAAAAGTTTTTCACTCTGTGGATCGTTCCTCATGACATTTAAATTTTCTGATTTGTATATATCAGCAGCACAAAGCTAGAAGATCATGGGGTTTTCCCCTCACAAATATAATGCTATATTTAAAATGCAGTTTAAAGGCAGCAAGAAAGTAATACAGTATTTTATAAAGATTAGGCAGAATACTTCAGTGTTTGCATTGTGATTACAGCCATGGCTCCTAAATTGCAGTGTCATTGTTAAGGTAAGAATGATATTTTATTTAAACTACTGCTGAACATATGGTGTTATTTATGCCCCAGACGTCCATAGAAGACAGAATTTTCTAAGTCTAATTTAAGCTGTTAGCGAGTAGACAGCAAAAAGATGAGACCTCACTGTTTTTACTAGCTAACAGTGCTGGTTTAGATTAAAATAGTTAAGGGATGTATTTTTTTTTAAGGAAAAGATTCTGCACGGATTTGTACAGAAACCATGACTAATGAAAGTGTAGATCTGTATCCTTCCTCTGCTGTCAGATCTTGCCCATGACATCATCTCAGTTGTCCTCAGCTACCCATTGTACATCACATCCCGTGACCTTTCCCTCTACCAGTATTTTTTGATTAAAGTATTATTTAAATATGTTGGGGTAGGTTATGTGTGACAGGGAATGAACATGTCTCTATTAATCTCTGCACGTGCTGAGAATCATTTGCTCTTTTTCTTATATGGAAGATGAAATTGAGCTGAAGTAAAATTCCAAGTTAAGTTTACTCCTAAAAAGTGGCAAACAGTACAGGAGGCTTTGATTCTAAGACAATCACTCTGGGGATTATTTTAGTTTTTACAAAAAACAGAAACTGAGAGAGTACTTTAGAAAAGAGGCTTATTTTTTAAACAATTTGAATATATTCCTGCTCTTAGTCTTATCTTTTCTTTCCTCACCTTTCCAGTACCAAGTTAGGACAAAGAGGAGAAGATGAAAGCCAATGTGCAACTAGAAAGTGATGACCTGATTGTTATCACTGAAACTTGGTGGGATGAATCCTGTGACTGGAATGCAGCTTTTGATAGCTACAGGCTGTTCAGGAAGGACAGGAGAGGAAGGAGGGGCAAATGGGTTGCGCTCTACATCCAGAAATGGATAGAGTGTGAAGAGCTGACTCTGAAGAGCAGCAGTCTGAAAATTTATGGGTGAGAGACAGAGACCGAGGCAACAAAGGAAATCTTGTGTCTGTCTACTACAGGGCAAGAATGCAAGAGCTCTCAATCCCCATACACAAGAAATTGAGCAAGAATGGCAAGGGACTAGCATGGCTGAGTAGAGACCTGTTGGCCAAAATAAAGGAAAATAAGCAGGCAGGGGAAACAGGGACAGGCACCCTGGGATATATAGAGGGATGCTGCTCGGTTGTGCAGGGATGGGGGCAGGAAGGCCAAGGTGCAGCTGGGATTGAACTTGGAAAGGGATGCAAGGAATAACAAGGGCTGCTACATATATGTTAACCAGAAAAGGAAGATGAAAGAAAGCATACCCCATGGATGCACAAGACTGACAAACTGGTAACAGTTGTCAAGGAGAAGGGTGAGGTACAAACCAAGGTACAGTTCTTTCTCCAGTGTCCAGTGGTGTCCCTTGGGGACTCATACTGGGACCAGTACTGTTTAATATCTTCATCAATGACATAGGCAATGGGATTGAGTGCACCCTCACCAAGTTTGAGACTACATCAAGCTGAGTGATGTGACTGACATGTCTGAAGGACAGAATGCCATCCAGAGGGACCTGGACAAGCCCAGGGATGGGCCCCTCGGAACTGCTTGGTGCTCCACTAAGCCAAGTTCCAGGTGCTGCACCTGAGTTGAAGCAATCCCAAACAGAAACACAAGCTGGGCATAGAATGAATTGAGAGCAACCTTGCTAAGAAGGACTTGGGAATACTGGTGAACAAAAAGCTGGATGTGACTTGGCAATGTGAGCTGGCAGCACAAAAAGGCCAACTGTATCCTGGGCTGCATCTGAAGCAGTTTGCCCAGCAGGTCAAGGGAGGTGATTCAGCCTTTCTACTCTGCTCTGGTGAGACCCCACCTGGAGTACGTTGTCCAGCTTTGGAGCCCTCTGCACAGGAAAGGCACAGACCTCTTGGAAAAGATCCAAAGGGGAGCCATGAAGATGATCAAAGGGCTGGAGCACTTCTCCCGTGAAAGCAGGCTGATAGAGTTGGGATTATTCAGCCTGGAGAAAAGAAGACTACAGCCTTTCAGTATTTGAAAATAGCTTATAAGAAAGATGGATACAAACTTCTTAGCAGGGGCTGTTGCAACAGGACATGGAGAAATGGGTTTAAACTAAAAAATGGGTATATTTGGAGAAGATATAAAGATGACATTTTTTATTATGAGAGAGGTGAAGCATTGGCACAGGTTGCCCAGAGGAGAAGGCAAGGTTCAGGTTTCTCAGAAGACACTAGAGAAAGTTCAGGTTGGACATCAAGAAGAATTTCTTCACAGAAATGGTTGTTAAACATTGGAATGTACTGCCCAAAGAGGTAGTGAAGTCACAATCCCTGGAACTGTTCAAGAAACGACTGGACATAGCACATAGTGCCATGGTCTAGCTGACAGGGAGGTGATCAGTCAAAGACTGGACTTGATGATCTAGAGGTCTTTTCCAACCTAAAAGATTCTGTGATGCATAGAGGTGATAGATACCTCATCCTGGAAACTTCCAAGGCCAGGAATGGGGACGGCGCCCTGAGGAAACTTACCTGGTTGCACGTGTCCATGTTAATTGCAGAAGGGATAGTCTAGATAATCTTTAAAGGTCCTTTCCAACCCAAGTTATTCTGTAATTCTGTGATTCCATGACTTGAGCCTGAGTTTTTAATCTTAATGCACTCCTTAACTCAGCTTTGTAGATGGCCTTTAGAGCTACAAAAGTTCACTTCATTCAAAGCTTGATCCACCTACTTGCTTCCACCAGAAAATAGATTTAAGTGTTAGCACTTGCTCATATTAGAGAGCTAGATAGGGATCTGCAATACAACAGACTATGCTAGAGGAAAGCTTTATGCAAAATTTTGATATTAATCATTCAAAGGGAGATGCTAAAGGTGAGAACAGGTAGGAATGGACACAGGAATTCTTCTGTTCAGATAGAACTTCTAAGGTTTATATTATTTGAATGTTTCTTAGTTATGTAGAAAATGACATTACACGTGCATATATTGAGAAAAAGTTCTAATTTATGTCTTTCACTATGCTATTAATTTGCATTATTCAGTGACCACTCCCTGTAGTAGGTATAGTGATGAGACATCTCCACAAAATGACACAGCAGGGCATCCTGGCAGGCTAGGGAAGAAAGATGGGCAGAAAACACAGCAAAACAGAGCTCTCAGAGTTGGCCACACCATCAGAGATGTCCATGAAACTGCCCTCCTGTGTACGCAACAGGTCAAGGGCTGGATTTGGTGCTGTCCTTACGCTCCAGCACCCCCAGATATGACCCTAACTTCCAGAGCTTCTAGTCCATGCCCACTTACAGGCTCACTGGCAGCCATCCTCCTGACTATCCCCATCATGGGCTCAGAGAAGCACCAGGCTTTCATCATGGCACTGCTATCTCTATCCTGTGGGAGTTCAGCCAAAATGACCAGCATGACAGGGTAGCTCAGTGTTTCTAAATTCTGTTTTGTCAAGTGAGGCTGTTCATAAAAATAGGTGTAGTGTTTCCTCCTGTTGTTTGAAAGAAAACTCACGTTACTGTGGCTTATTTCCACTAATCTTTGCAAAGTGCTTAAGTTTCATTTCAAAGACATTAAGCACATGTTTATATCCAATTCAACACCATTATTAAGGATTTTCAACAGGATATGAGCAAAGCCAATAAATTTGGAAAGCAGTCGTTTGACAAGTGCTGTGACTGGCAGTGAGGACATCCAGCAACAGCACAAACAGGGCTGTGATATTTTCACTGTATGGTAACACCAGACTGCATCAGCAGGTATTGTTATTACTCCAACACCCTATGGGCCAGCACACTGTCTCTTTCTCACAGCAGTCAGAGAAAATGTCCTTTTTCTCAAATTACACTGTTGAATGAAGTGACTCATTTTCACTAAATTCTCCAGTTCACTGTTGAGCAGCTCCATCAAAGGTGGTTTTGCTCATGTACCAGAACCAAGACAAGAGAGATGTGACATCCCATTAGCTATGAGAATGACTCCAGACACCACCTTCCTGCTGCTGCTCTGCATTCTTTTTTTTTTTTTTATTTGTTTCCCTGCCCTTGTAAATCTTCTTTGAAGCCTTTAAAAAAGGTCTTTTTATTTCTTTAGAGATAATTTGTTCAAAATTATAATGCACAGGATAGGCTTTTTGAGTTGTTTATCCTAAACTCTGTGTGTACAGAGAAAGTGTGAGACACAGAGATGTGCCTGTGTCTGAAGCAGATGAACACCTGCAGACATAGAGAGTCTCCCAGCTGCCATTTCACGCAGTGCAGTATGTGTGAAATGATCACATTTCAAGAGAATCTACAGTTTATTTATGCCAAGTCCACTGTTTTTTAGAAGGTTTGATTATTTTAAACCCTAGCATATGATTATATTATTTTTCTCTCTTATAGACTGATGGGAAGCCCAAATATCTTCACAAATGAGACATTGATCTGGGATAGGCCAAATCTGTCTCTGACAAACCACCTTGGCTCTAAAGCTGAGAGAGAATAATGGTTCAAGTCTGTCATGAGATGGCAGTTCCTCTATTTGTTTCCCTTGCTTTGAGGAGTGGGGGTGAATCTGAGGCTTTGTTCTGACTGTGAAGGGCCGATAGTGTTAAAGCCATTTGCAAAAAGACTCTTGACTTCCAGTCTAAAAAACCTGAGCTATTCTCATCCTAAACTTCTTCCCAGCAGATTCTGCCAATCATGACAAACTACGTGAAATTTGTGGTGAATTTGTGATGTACAGAAAAGTCCACTAGGGACTAATTTGACACCATCAGATGCAATTTTGCTTTATTACCCTAAGGCAAGATTTAAACTAGTTTCCAGGGGTGAGAGGTTATTCCATTAATCGAGGGTGCTTGCCCCAGCAGGCTGCCACCTAGACAGTCTGAGCCATCATTAAAAGGATATATTTCTCCTGTTTTCTTGGTCTTTTCTGGGGTTTTCATTTTAGGGTGGCACTTTTATTCTTAGTCTTCAGATAGTCTTCTGACTCTTTTCATAGTCAGAACAATCTCTACCAAAGCCTTCCCGGCAGCCTGTTTTTGCAGGAGAAAACTAAGATTTAGTCTCAGTCAGCTCATCAAATTCAGTTAACCCTGTGCTGTCTGGAGTGGAGGATGAGGAGAGCAGGGATCCTCAGTGAAGCTCAGATAACACAGGGAGGCAGAAATGAGTGAGAGAATGTGGAACACAGAGGCAACTCAGGCTCTGTAAGGCAGTGCCAGCCATCCCAAAACACAGCTGCTTCTGCACACGCTTATCCCATAAGTACCTGGGCATCTGGGAAGAGATGAGACCTTTAGCACAGGGCCAGACTCAGCTAAGCCTTCATTTCTCCTGGTGCCTTCATGTGACCTTGTGCCCGAAGCACTGCAACCGCTGGCATCTTGGCTCAGCACAAGGCTCTCCAAGTGGTCTCCCTGCAAGACCAGCCCAGGTGCAGCAGAGCTCCCCAGCTTGGGGATTATCCTCAAGAAAAGCAGCTACCTGGCATCTGGATCCCAGCAGGCACTGGAAGAAGTAGAGCCCTGTTCTCATGAGATGACCACTGGGTGACAAGCCTTTGTCATAGTGTCTCTAACCACAGCACAGCTGCCCTGCCAGCCACATAAGCTGCACACCACTAACCTAAACTGTGCAGATGTTAATGCTGACCAGCACTGGCTGGGATTGCAGAATCCTGCCTGATACCTGTCTTATACTCATTCTGGACCCAGTTCTACCAATATCCACCACAAAAAGTTAATGCCACAAGTAAGAATGGCATTTTCAAGAGTTCAGCTTTTTTCCCCCTTTTGTTTCTTCAGAGTTTTCCTTCAGCTTCAACTTGAAGAAAGTGGAGTTTAGTTTAGTTCTATGTCTTTGTGCCATTCCTTTTCACACAGGCACTGACTGCCAGGGAATATATTGCTTGTGTGAGATTTTGCAAAGGATAGGAGAGCTCCTCAGTGGTTTTGGTAATGAGTCAGAAAAGCAAGGACAAAAATCCTGAGAACTTTACTCTCTAATCCTGGGTAGGAGACAGGATCTTCTTTTAAGGTTCTGTGTGTAAGTGGTTTAGTTGAACCAGGGAACTTTTGGTGCAGCAGAGACATAACAGCCCTGAATATTGCAATGTTTGTCTTTGGCAGTAATTTGGAAAAGGCAATGCAGAGGCAGGAACTAGAATCCCCAGGAGGGCAGATGCAACGTAATTTGCCCCAGTACAACATTCTCTGTGGTTTTAATAGCTGGCATAAATCCCAACTAGTAAGGTAGTTCCACCTCTTTTAAAATGTCTTTTTAGTTGTCAAGAAGAGCTGTTAAGTGAATTCAAATGAGCTAGTATTAAGAAATGAAATAATATTTATATTGGGCTTGGATAGGTTTGACTTCACCTCTTTAACTAAACTGGGTGAAGGCAGAATGTTGGAAACTGATGATCACTGAAAAATAATCTGGATGAGGAATGCTCATTAATTTTAAGTTAATTATCTATCCCTAAAGGGGTTTTAATATTTTTTTATATATGTGGAAATTCTTGTCTCGAGGCAGATAGCTCTGCAGTCTGGATCACCTGAGAGTACAAATCTGGGCCACAGTACTATTGATGACAGCATTGCATTTCTATCATTTATTAGCATCTCGTGGAGCTGATGCTAATCCACTGTCCTTCAAAAACTGCTCAATAGCCCTGATTTTTGCTGTATGTTCTCTGCCTTTTCAGCCCTCCAACGCCCTGTGGGAAGCAGACCCCATTGCAATGTAAGAGTGCTGGCAACACACTCCTCCACAGGAAGAACAGGCTTGGATGCATTGGCTTTCAAGATCAGCAATTTCTTTGAGAAAAAAAAACCAAACAAACAAACAAAAAAAAAAACCCAAAAAACAAAAACCACCCAAACAAGAAAAGCCATTTAAACTGAGTTACTGGCATTATTATTATTTTCACCTCTCCACAACCTAGCTATGACTTCCAGTGAATCCTGAGTTAAAAGATCATAATTCCAGCTGAACTTAATGGGAGTATTTACACAAGAATTGTGTTGCAATACCTAATAAGCTTGGTTGTGGGGAAATCTCTTTTGCTCTGTCTGTACTGATTTTATTCTAAGGAACATTCCTGCTGCTGCAGTTCCACCAATAAGTAGGAATAATTGTAACACTGCTGTGACTGATCACTACTAATTCAACAACCATATATATCTTCTATTCATGGCCCAGGTTAGATTGCAGTGTTTGCATGTTAGTGGCTGCTGCTGCCTTGTCCATCACTATCACAGCAGAAGTTCTGCTGGGAAGCAACTCATAAGAAAAATGAGATTTTCATCAGGTCCTCTCTCTCTCCATTTTCTTCATGGACGTGATAAAAAAAAGTGATATTTCTTGAGATCACTGTGAAGACTAACAAGTAAACACTTATAAAGGACTTTGAAGATGAAAAATGTGAAATATTCCACTTAGTTATTAAAGCATGGATGAGGCCAAGGCAATAACTAGTCATCTAATTTGAATGAAATATTGTTTTATAATGTCCTAGTGATGCTGGTTTTTTTTTAAATTTGATGGGCAGCAGCCAATCTCTGCATATAAACAGTGACACCAGAATCTGCCTTTCATCTTTGTAAACTTTGGAAAAATTATTCATCTCATTTAATAATGAGAAGAAAAAAATAAGGGAGAGAGAGAGAGGAAGAAAGAGAAAGAGAGAAAGAGAGAAAGAAAAAAAGAAAGAAAGAAAGAAAGAGAGAATGAAAGAAAGAAAGAGAGAAAGAAGAAAGAAAGAAAGAAAGAAGAAAGAAAGAAAGAAAGAAAGAAAGAAAGAAAGAAAGAAAGAAAGAAAGAAAGAAAGAAAGAAAGAAAGAAAGAAAGAAAGAAAGAAGAAAAGAAAGAAAGAAGAGAGAAAGAAAGAGAGAAAGAAAGAGGCAGAGAATAAAAAATGTGTTTATTTGAGCAAATGTGAGGTGTAGGGCAATGTTTCATATTAACCCTGGTTTCCTCTTCATACATCTGATTTCTTTGAAAAAACACAGCCATAGTTCATCCACCAGCCCTATGGCCCACATTGCTCCTAAGGGAGGCTCAAATGCTGTGGTTAGAAAGAACTAAAGGAAAAATATTGCTGAGGAATTTAACCAAAATTTTTCAATGTAGCAGCTTTGTAAGAAAAAGAGGATTCACTGAAGCTAAAGTTTCTTATGAAAATCCTGGTGTGTTCATTGATATTACCAGGAAAGTTTGAAGTATTTCTATCTAGGGCCAAACATAAACTCTTGGATGGCATTGGATTGCATTTGATTGGATTGGGTAAGGTAGAGTAAGGTACCTTCTAGAATATGGAGAAGTGGAAATTAAACCCTTGTTCCTCCTCTCTCCAAGCACAGATATCATGGTGTCTCTCCCCTGATGTAACCAGTGATTTCTGATCAATTATTTCCTCTTTCCAAAATCAGTTAGGACTTTTCTGCAGGGAGACTGCCACAGAGGAAAGGACGTCCTTCAGCCTGCAGTGACAGGGATTCTCAGCTACTCAGCAGAGAACTGGACAGTGAGAGTAACCTGGGCAATGTGCTACATGGACGCTGGAAAGCTGGGGAAGAACATAGACAGTAAGCTGCAGATGATGGGCTGGAAAAGCCTGTGCCCATGGGATGCAAACCATTAGGTAAGATGCGCCTTTCAATTTCTTGCTGCAGAGTCCATAGCAAATGTAATGGCAAAGAGGGACGTGAGCATGGATTTCCCACAGGACAGGCAAGCTCTCTCATCACCCTAGGAGACGCAGGCAAAAGAGGAGGAATGGAGGGAGCAGTGCTTTCCAGGGGTTGATGAAAAATTCCTCAAGCCTGGATGAAACAAAGCTAATAAGAATGATATTCGAAATAAGAAATGTCAGTGAGCTTGGGTTTATTTTCTCATACCCTATCTGTTGCCTGACCTTGCCTCTATACATTCCTTTGTCTATACACAACAGTGCAAAAGGGAAGTTATTTCATCTAACTTTGGGCACGTATATATTTTAAGACACTATTCAGGTCAGCTCTTTTAGACATCTATCGCAAGACAAATTAGTTATAAAATACCTGTGTCTTTCCACTGACAACAAAAGCAGTCAAGAAGAAAAGTTCATATGCCAATATGTGGTCAGATCAATTTTAACTCCACATCTATACCCCCCACATCCTTCTCATTTCCCCCATGAAAAAATACAGATCCCCTCACAGCACAGAGCTCAGCACAAGCAGGGCTCTGCTTGCCGAGTTACACCAGGTTGTGCTCATTGATGAGTGAAACCAGGTTGAAATTCAACTGCTAGCTGTACCCTCCCACTCATTATCTCTGCTGAGTGTTTAGATCTCAGGGAATTTGTGGAGTTTCTGGGTTTCCAGATACCAGATAGTCTTTTTTTGTGAGGCACTGGGTGTAATTCCTTCAATGATTGTGGAGGAATCTCTAGAGGGGAACCTCACGAGCATTGCTCGCTCTCTTCTCTAAAGGAAGAAATTGAACTCATGGTTTTCTGACAAATGCTTGTTTTCTGCTGTTGTCAGAAAGCCAGGAGACATTTAGCAGCTGTAACAGTGGAAGCTAAATAAAAGCAGAAAATTTCCTCTCTGCTGCTACACTGCATAAGTACGCAAAGTGAGGTTAAAGAGAGGTAGGTCTGCTCCATGAGACGCTGTCACCCAAAATAATTTTTGAAGGGGCAAAATCTTCCCTCCCCTCACCCTTTAATATAGGTTTAATTCCCTAAAGCACAGTCCAGTGATCTCTGTAAACTAAGTTGCACATTCAAATTAAGTTTGCATATTGATGTTAAAAGTGGATTGGTTTTTTTAATAGAATATGGCCACAGCCTTCCTCCAAGACACTCGTGTACAATTGATGGGATATCTGTTTCAGGGTTACGTGTGTACAATTAAGTTCTCATGTTATAGGCCTGGTGTCAACAGACACAGAAGTCATAGAAATTATGGTAGAAAAATTGACTTTGATACAAGCAGTACCTCAATTTCTTTGGAATATGAAACTCTTTCACGTTCTTTTCTACTTTTGTCTCCTAGGGCCCTGCTTCCTTCAAAGATAAAACTGACTGCTGGTTTCAAGGGCTATTTATTGCCATGACAGTGATATATCACTCTGAGTACTGCCTCTTAAAGGATTATTAGCACCTACCTGATCTGAAAAAGTACAAACATTCAACCAAAATTGCTGTATTAATAGATAAGTCGAAAATAAATAAACAAGAAACAAACAGAACCTTTTTAAAAGAAGGAACTGCAACTGAAATACTTTAAAGATAAATAAACTTTTACATTTGACTCCCTCTAGAGTATATTTAAGGAAAAGCTTGAATCAGGAGATTCCTTTTTTGTTGCAAAAATTCCCTGTAGTCCAATCAAAGTTCTCTCCAAGTGCAAGAATCCCTCTGTGCCCAGCAGCCTCTCTTCAACAGGGCTTTCTGCCTGTTAGAGCTAAGCCCCTGCAGCGCTCAGACCAGAGCACCTTAGTGCCTCACTGCCACCAGGAAACAAAGTTGTACCTTCTTGTTCAGTAAGAGGCGATAGAGCTGTAACTGTGCATGCCTACATTTTCCAAAAAGGACACCAAAGCCTTCCTGTCTTCATCAGCTAAATGCAGTAAGAGGGCTTTCATCAGGTCTGCAGTGCTGAGTCAGAGTTAGACCCATGTCTCCAGGGACCTGTTGTAGAACAGGACCTTCATTCACTTAGCCCCTGAGGATTCAAACAAACTCAACACAGTGTTGCAACATCTGAAGTTCCCAAATGTCTTTTTTTTTTTTTTTTTTTTTTTTCTAGAATGAGGATCGGTTACCCATTTCAAAATGAGCAGGGCCACTGTAGTCACTTAGGTCATTGGAAGCCTTTTGGTGAAACTCCCTCAGTCCTGTTGTGCAGGACATGAGACACCAATGTATCCTCTTTCTGTATCTGCTAGTGCGCCCACTGGCACTCTGGTCAGCTGCACAGGTTTGTTTACAGGTGGCAGTGAGATATTGAACAGAAGAAAAGGTAGCACAGAATAAGCAACTGAATTTTCAAGAAAGAACCCAATGGAAACAAGACACAGAGTCTCTCAAAGCATTTATGTCTATGTTTCTAATGAAAAACAAGCAGAACAATAAGTACATTCCATAAGTTTCATATGTAATAATGAAGAGGCAATACAGGACAGGCACAATTTTCCTTCTCTCTTTGCCAGAAAGTAAGATGAAAAAATACAATACTTGGGTAAGGGGAAAAAAAAAAAACAACAAAACAAAACATTATGAACTTACTGTCTGGTTATGGATGTGAAAATAGAGAAACTACATTTCTTACTAACTAGGTCTATTACTTTCCAGCATGTGATGGATTCTCAGTTGCTAGGTTTTTAAAGTCACAAAAGAAAGGAAAGAAGAAACCCAAACTTTGCTATCTTTTGCTGCATCAATGTATAGATAGATTCAGTCTGACTACAATACAAGTACTACACGGCAGTACCTCCAGGAATAAATTTGGATCACTATGCCGTAGACTCCAGAGAGTCAACATGACATATTGCATCATATCCCTCACACAAAAAGAATTCACTAACAAACATCACTTCCAAAAGTGCTCCCTTATTCCACTTTTACATTATAGTTTCTTATGAAATATCTCAGTGGATTACTTTGGTGCTTTGCCACATTTCTCTCAATCTATTTATAAATGTTAGGTTGGAAAGAAAGTAAACATTGCAGGAAAAACACTTTATAAACCTTTACTATTTTCATATTATACTTGAACTGGAATTAGTTTTGCTTAAAATAAATAATAATCCTGGAGTGCTCTGCAGAATGACACAAAATCTCCCAAGCTTGTTAAAATAATAATAATTTTTAAAAAAAAGAAAACATAAAATAAGAATATAAACCAATTGGTTTATATCTCATCTGAGAACACATAAAATTATGTCTCTTATGAGGGGGAAAAAAAAAATAAAAACCAGCCTGCAGGTAGACTTCATCCTGCACAGTATGTCGCTGGTAACAGCCTTCAGGACAATTACTGCTCTTTGATTATAAATCGAATTGATTAACATGCCACCAGAAAAGTGGCAGCATCGATAAGTATGTGATTCCTCCGCTCCCCAATAATGGATTAAACAAATGTTTCACACCTAAAGACTGTAGCTGCATTTGGAAAAGCACAACTGGCTTCTGAGAGGCAGAGAAGTGCTGGCTGGCAGAGTATGCTGCTGCTGCCTGCTGCTCCCTTCCCACCTCACACACCCAGCGACTTGCTGCTTGTTTATTTAAATGACACTGTTGTTTGAAATGATGGGGGCTTCTTATCCTCTTGAGTCATGCATTCTCTGTCTGCGATCCTCTGTTTAGGCACTTTTAGCACCTCATTAATTACTAACTGCAACAAAGTCATGCTGTTTTGCAACTCTATTGCCTTTGTTAAGAAATCTCAATCCTGTGTTAGAATGTGAAAGGGGACTGTTATCTACCATATGCCCTGCTTGACTCCATACTACAAAATTAGCTTTCTAGTTCCTGAAAAACATATACATGTGTTCCTTATATACATACCCCGTGGTTAAACAGCCTGGTTTCCGCTAAAAGACCTGCCACTACCAACTGTAGAAGCTACCGCTGCAGATAAAAGCCCCTCTTAACTCCACACGTTATAAATAAATGTTTTATCCAGGAATGCACCATTTCTTAACAATGTCCTTAAAAAGTCTTAATAAGGTCATTAATAAGCCTTAATAATAAGTCCTGCTCAAAGTGCTACCCTAGATGCCTCTCCATGAGTCTGTGGGTACTAAGACCCTCTCAAAGAGTTAACTATTAAATATAAGTAACTAACAGATTAGGCAGATGGAGATATTATTTCACTCTTAGATTGAAAGTCTGTGGGACAACATAATGTAAGGACAAAGAAAGTCTTCTCTGTGATGCTCTGAATGTTATCAGTGTATGTAAAATCTGCAGGCACGTTAAAGCAGATTGGTAGGAGAGGTTTGATCCAAAAGGGATTTTGATAGCTGTGCAGAAGGCTGTGATTTAAGAATCATCTTCAGCAGCAGCTGAAGCTGGAAGAACCTAATTAAATTCACAATGTCCTTTCTTGTTTGGGGTGAATGCTCCTCAGAGTACAGCTCCTGCAGAGACCCAGAGCCAGCACAGGCAGGACTCTTGTGTGAGCAGATTGTGGGCCAAACAGAGCTAAATTCACTGAGGATCTAGACCCAGCTACCAGTGGAACCGGACCCATCTCATCAAGTAGCATGCAAAAACTTGTTTACAAAACAGGGACAGAAAAATAGAAATGGTAACAATAGCGACTTTTCTTAGTGGTTAGAGTATATGCAGCCAGAAGACACCAGTTTCTGTTAATAAATTTTCATTTAATATGAAACGTGCAAGGATACTTTAAAAAAAAGAGACAAAAAATAAGATTTCCCTTCATGTGACTTAAAATAATTTCCTTCTTATCATCTGACACCAAGAATGTTTATGGTGGCACAGATGCAGTACAGCAGCCTGAGAAGCAACCTCAGCCAAAGAATCACATAACTGAGAGCTCAGGGTGTGGGGTGCAATTGCACCCTGAATCACACTCCCATGGAAGGTACTCATGGAGCATGGGTCCACATAGTGGCCAAGTTTTATTGCCATTGGGCTAAAGGGAACTCTAGAAAAGACACAACTGACTCTTTATTTGAAAGAAAGGATCTTAATTTCTCCCCGATGAAGGAGGCTGGCTGACTCCGGCATGAATGGATATTTAGCTGTGCAGAAAATCCTAGCTGGGCTGAGTGTTTCCTTATTGCTAGCTCCTGCTTTCTCTCAATTCAGGATGCATGTCGATTCTGGTAGCAGGCTGGAAGGAACACCTATTACCACCGTTTATTTGCAGAGTTTAGACATCTAAATATTCAATTTTGGATGTCACTTGCAAAGTCATATGCCCACCAGGTAGGATTTGCTACTCCTAAATTGAAGATGTTTCCCTATTTCATGGGATCTTGGCTTTCAAGCTGTAGCTATCTGATGCCTGATTTGCAGTTTGTTCAATGTAGTAGATGTAGATATTAGCTTAGCAGAAGATCCACATCACTAAATCCTTGTTATTCAAGGACCAGTCATCAACCTCATGCAAAAAGAGAACCAAGTTCAGAAGTAAAACACTATGTGATTCTTTCCATTCGTGAACAGCAGTCAGAAATATGCTGGAAGGTACACAAAAAGGGTAAGGCTTTCACTAGGGAACGTCTGTACTTCTTTTCAGACAAGTACAAGGGCTTTTTTCAGTTCTGATGAACTGAATGCAAAATATGAACTGATGCAACATATCCAATTGCTTCAAACTCTCCAGGCATAGTGATGGATATCAGCTTGAGCTTAAAAATCCTTCTGAAGAGTACCATGTCACCAGTGCACCAGAGTCAAGCAGAGAATAAATATTCAGGACTACCATTTTGCAGTTTTCCAGAATTTCACTTTACACCTTGAAATAAGCAACAAGAGCATTTGGGTACAGAAGTGTTCCAGACTGCTCAGCACTATCTGCCTAATACTGAAACACCCCATAGAATAAGTATCAGTGACACATTTACCAATGTTTAGTTAAGGACAGGGCAGGGTAACCCATGGTTGCAATGCTCTGCTCCTCATGCTGTGAAAGTGGCTGCCCGGTTCCTCAGCTACACCTCCTACAACTCTTATGGCTTCAGGCACCAGAGCTGAACTTCTTCAGTATATCCTGGTAATGGGATGGCATAGTTGAGGACAGCTGGAACTGCAGCACATGAGCTCTATCAACACTGTGCACCAGCGTCCTTCTTCATGCCCACCTGCTCCTCTGTATGAACATTAGGCAACCTGCCCATCACCCACACCGTGTGCAGGTGAGCACACACATAAAGAAATGGGCTTGTTCCCTTGTCCCTGCCTTTCCAAGGAACTCTACATTTGAAATCTCACCTACAGTAGTGATATTGCTTCACTGACCTATTTGAGACACTCCCTACCCTTACTGTTTTAAATGTCAGGTTTTTAATTTCATTATGGTGTACCAGACCAGGAAACTGAATATGCTGGAAAAAAACCTTTTTTGTGTTTCATCTTTCAGCCAGATATTTCCCAAACCCTTGGACCAGCAGAGCCCAGGAGGTGGGAATAAGCAAGTAACTTGGGCAAATGTGGAATCTACTTAGATGGACATTAACACCAAAGAAATTCTCAGGAAACACTGCCAAAGTGAGAAAGCAGCTCCTCCCAAATACAAATACTGAAATCATAGAGAAATCAATGCCTAGACAAATGGATGTGTCAGATGGCTGT